TGTTCAGGATATGCTCTCGTCTCTTGGTTTGATGTCTGGATTTAGGAAGCTGTTTAGAACAGCATCAGGGTCACACTCAAAGATATGCTGACGTGGAATGATTACAGCTTAAACAGTGTGGATCACTTTCCACAGAAAGGAGACTTTCTTATTCATGAGAGACTCTTAGCCCTCGATTTTCTTTTCTTCCCACTCTAATTTCATATAAGAGAACAAAAATAGGTACTGCCCATCTATTAGTTTTCTTAGCATTTTTCTTTTTACAAAATTCATACACTACCTCATTTGATCCTCACAACACCAAGTTGGGCAGATGGGAAGAAAGGTCTTCATTTTAGAGATGAAGAAAAGGAGGTAAGAAATTAAAATGTCTTGCTACTAAATAGTGGGTAAAATCCACCTCTCCGGAGCCTGCATCCTTTCCATCATATTTATCAACTGGGAAGACTTTCATATAACCCTAGTACTTACTGGGGAAATACTTGCTGTCGTCTACAAAAGCGCAGCTTATATATATTTAAAATTATTTTCTTAAATTGCTTTTGAACATTTTGCATTTTTTAATTTTCTGTACAGATAGGGGTCTTGCTGTGTTGCCCAAACTCCTGGCCTCAAGCAATCCTCTCACACTGGCCTCCCAAAATGCTGGGATTACAGGCGTGAGGAACTGTGCCTGGCCTTAAATTGCTTTTGAGACAGGTTGTTTCAATTCTTCTATTTGTCTTCTGAAGGGTAAAATTCCAGCCAGGTTTCCCAGTTATCTTTTAAAATGTAATAGCCATTATGGACACACTCATCAAAATGTTAGTTATCTCTAAGGGGTGGGATTTCAGGTAACTTTAGTTTTTTTCTTTAAATTTCTGTTAAAAATGAAAAGCTTCATGTTCTCTGTACCATCCAGGCTAACACCATCTTTGCATCCCTTACTGCATTGTACATAGTAGGCATTCAGTAGCAAGTGCTGAATAAATCTGCTTCCTAAACTTCCACCACATCTGTGTAACCTCCATGTAATTATTTACTTATTTCTTTAAACCAATCCACTTTTTAAAACTAGCCTTATCCTAAGTGACAATACATTTGTATGAAATCATGAGTTTGATACACTAGTTTCATTTTTCCCCCAATATACATTAATAGATATAAAACTAATCAAATTTAAAATGTTGATATACCTAAAATGATCTCACCAGTGGTACATGTGCCAAAAAGCAATAAAGTAGTAACTGTTGAGTCTTTTTTTTGAGACGAAGTTTCACTCTTGTTGCCTAGGCTGGAGTGCAATGGCACAATCTCAGCTCACTGCAACCTCTGCCTCCCAGGTTCAAGTCATTCTCCTGCCTCAGCTTCCCAAGTAGCTGGGATTACAGGTGCCCACCACCATGCCTGGCTAATTTTTGTATTTTTAGTAGAGACGGGGTTTCACCATGTTGGCCAGGCTGGTCTCAAACTCCTGACCTCAGGTGATCCACCTGCCTCAGCCTCTCAAAGTGCTGGGATTACAGGCGTGAGCCACCGCACCCGGCTTGTTGAGTCAATCTTTGACCTTCTCCTTCACTTCCCATAATATCAATCTCTAAGTACAGTCATGCATCATTTGATGATGGGGATATGCTTTGGTAAGTGTGTTGTTAGGTGATTTTGTTGTGCAAACATCATAGTGTACACTTACACAAACACCTGTCTATCATGTTACCACACTGAATACTGTAGGCAACTGTAACACAATAGTGAGTAAGTGTGTATCTAAGCATATGTAATCTTAGGACAAGTATGGTTACAAACATGGTATTATAATATTATGGTAGCATATTCGGTCCATTATTGACTGAAATGTCATTATGTGGAGCATGACTGTACTTTCAATCCATCCTTTATTATGACTCTTGCACTTACTTGGACCTCTCATTCTGGCGCAGGCCCTCATTATCTTACGCTTATCTTGGTCATCTTAATGCAGTAGACTCCTAGAAGTCTCCTTGCCTCCAATCTTTGCTCTATTCTATATTCTGCCATCAGATTTGAATCTTCCTAAAATAAGCTTTGGCCTCTACCCAAATTAAACTTTCCAGGCCACTGGAAACAATCACTTGATGGCTTCAGGAAAAAGTATTCAAAAAACTGGTCCCAGCCTACCTTCCTATCCCCATCTACAAGAATCCATTTAATCATTAGTTTCAGAAGAGGCATTGTGAACTTTATCTCTATTTATTCCTAGCCTTTAACCTGAAAAACCCCAGCCCCAAGTCAAACTTCTACCTACTTCAAATAGCCTCACTTCTAAGAAACTTGCTGACCATTAGAATCTGCATCAATATCTCCATTTCTGAAAGCCACACTATATCAGCTGCTACTCATGACATTTACCATGCCCTGCCTTAAACTCTAGGCTATTTGTCTCCTCTACTGTAGGTTCTTTAGGGTAAAACTATGTCTGTTGTATCTTGTCATGTAATATGTATTTAGACAGTAAAATATTTGTAGTTAACCAATGAAGCAAAGCAGGCTCTTTTTGTTTGTTTTGAAGACATGGTCTCGCTCTGTTGCCCAGATTGAAGTGCAGTGGAGCAAACACAGCTCACCGCAGCCTTAACCTCCTGAACTCCAGTGATTCTCCCATCTCAGCCTCCAGAGTGGCTGGAACTACAGGTGGGCATCACCACGCCCAGCTATTTTTTTATTTTTTGAGAAGATGAAGTCTCACCATGTTGCTCAGGCTGGTCTCAAACTCCTGGCCTCCAGCAATCCTCTAACCCCAGCCTCCCAAAGTGCTGGGATTACAGGTGTGAGCCACCACACCCAGCTGCGGGCCTCTAAAGCAGCCAGCAAAATAAGTCAAATCCCATTCAACATACTTCAAAGGACCACTCAATTGTTTTTGTAGCCAAAGAAAACTATTCTCATAGACATTAAACGTCTGTTATCTCTGTACTTTGCTTGTAATCAGTGCACCATTAGCTAATGTCTAGGTTTAGACATTACTTAACATTACCAGGTTTAGACAATGCTTAAGATGCCTCTTAAGCAGGTTAACTTTCTTTTTTTTGAGACAGGGTCTCACTCTGTCACCCAGGCTGGAGTGCAGTGGCACAATCTCAGCTCACTGCAGCCTCTGCCTCCTGGGTTCAAGCGATTCTCCCACCTCAGCCTCTGGAGTAGCTGGGACTACAGGCACGCGATGCCCGGCTAATTTTTGTATTTTTAGTGGAGATGGGGTTTCACCATGTGGGCTAGGCTGGTCTCTAACTCCTGACATCAAGTGGTCCACCTGTTTTGGCCTTCCAAAGTGCTGGGATTACAGGTATGAGCCACAGCGCCCGACCATAAGCAGATTAACTTTCTAAACTTGCATGATTCTCTAGTGCTATCACTGGGTTATTCTTTCTGGACTTCAGTTTTCCTATCTATAAGATGACCTTAAGATGTCTTCTAATCCCTTCACAGAATTTTATTTCCTTTACATATTTATAATAGGCTAGGTACTTTACTAGAACCTGTTTTTAGGGTCAAAACAGATGCTCAGATGCTAATCATTTTCTGGTACTCTCTACATTTTGATAGACAGTACAAGGTATTTCACACATATTATTTCATTTAATCTTCAAAATCCTAAAATGTAGGCATCTTTAGCCGTGTATTTCTCAACCAGGGGAGACCTGACCCCACCCGAACCTTTAGGGGACATCTGGCAATATTCTGAGACATCGTCACAATTTTCGGAGATTGTAGGGGGGAAATGGCCCCTAGTGGCGAGAGACCAGGGATGCTGCTAAACATCCTATGATGCGCAAGATGCCTCCCACAACAAAAACAGTATCTGTCCCCCAAAAATAGTGTGGAGCTTGAGAAACCCTATTGGCCTCATCTTTCAGTTAAGAAATCAAATATTTAGAAAGCTTGGCCGGGTGCAGTGGCACACGCCTATAAATCCCAGCACTTTGGGAGGCCGAGGCAGGCGGGTAACTTGAGGCCAGGAGTTCGACAAGCCTGGGAAACATAATGAGACCTCATCTCAAAATAAATAAATACATAGATAAATGAAAGCTTAACTTACTTGCACAGAGTTACACAGATGGTGAGTGAACAGAGATCTAAAATCATCTCTGTATGACACCAAAGGCAATGGCACATTCCATCACACATACAAACACTGATGACCGTTTCTGACAGTTTGTATTGTTTCTTATCATTGTCCCCTCTCTGCCATTTAGTCTTGATATTTTAAATTCTGCTAATCAATATCAGTCAGTCTTATCCAGGAAAAGGATTCAGAAGCAGCTTTCTCAGACTCTCAGGTCAGATTCGAGAAACGTCTTTTCTTGTGCTCCCACTGTATCTAGAGTCTAAAGCTTGACAGTAGCAATTAACGTATTGTACTGTGATTGCATGACTAGCTTCCCTTTGGACTGTAAGCTTAAGAAGAAGGTATTCCTTTTGATTTTTGTGTACCTAGTGCCAAGCAAAGTATCTCAGCACAGAGTATACATTTCATAAATGTGTGTTAAACAAATAAAACAGACTAAATTACATAATGTCTCCAAGGATACAAAGCTACAAAATGACAGAACCAGGATTCAAATCCAAGTCTCTCCATTGCCAAAGCCTATAATTACTGTCTTAATAAAGCTAAAAATTAGATGTTTATCTTCTCTTTATCTTGCTTGTGGGAATTCTTTGATCATAAACACATCAGAAATTTTATACACACACACACACACACACCCAAGTTACTGTTTTAAAGACAGCTTATAATCACATGAATTTTCTTACAAGAGCTTCCAATTTTAATCTCTACATTCTTTAAAAGCTTGCAAGGTAGTTAGCATGTAATAATAGTGGTAAACTCTCCTAAATACCAGAACTATAAAGGAGCCATGGTTTTTTATTTGATAGTCTCCCTGAATTCAACACTCACTGCATAGAAATTGATGTTATTTTGAGTTGTCACAGGAACTGTGTATAAAAACTAAGGTAGAGTCTCTTAGGAAAAAAGAACTCACTTTAACTTTAGCTTTTATTTCTTCACTGTTCCCTTCTTCCTCATTGCGGGGTTCCATGCCAGAATCCTCCTGGATGTCTTTGTTTAGTACAGAGTACTCTTCTAGTAGAGTGTCAAACAAAACTATTCGCTTGTTCTTGAAGAAGCCATAAAAATAAGCATTGCTGTGGGAAGAGCGTTTAGATCCTAAGGAAAAGACAGTTCAAAGCATGGAATATAATTAAAAAGTTTGGGGTCCTTTGGAGAGACTCCTAGAAATTGAATTACTGGAAAGGACATTAACATTTTTAAATCGTTTAATAGAAGAAAAACCATATCAATATAATTCACCACCAGAAGTGGAGAGTGTCTGTTTTTTTGCCAATAAATGTGCTCATCACAGCTTTATAGCAATAAGTAAATAAGTAAAGCCTAAACATCCAACAGTTATGGAATGATTCAATTATAGTAAAACTATGAAATAGAATTTTAAGCAGCCAGAAAAAAAATATACTTCCAAAGAATTTTAACAAGAAAAAGCTCACCAATATATTGTGAAGCATACAAAACTTCATATATATAAGGTTCCATTATTGTCAAGAAAAAGTGTACATGTATTAGATGGGTGCAAACGTAATTGCGATTTTTGCATTGTTGAAATTTGCTGTTTGATACTGGAATACATTCTTAAATATGGTTATATGTCATTTTAATGCACATTTCTCGTTTTGTTTTTTGCTGATTTATTACTTGCTGTTTATTTTATATTTATTTTAGATAAGGGAAATGATATTAGACAAAAAGCAAATTCAGCCGGATACTATGGCTCATACCTGTAATCCCAGCACTTTGGGAGGCTGAGGCAGGCGGATCACTTATAGTCAGGAGTTCGTGACCAGCCTGGCCAACATGGTGAAACCCTGTCTCTACCAAAAATACAAAAAATTAGCCGAGCATGGTGGCGCACGCCAGTAATCCCAGCTACACATGGGGCTGAGGTATGAAAATTGCTTGAACCCAGGAGATAGAGATTGCAGTGAGCAGAGATGTCGCTGCTGCACGCCAGCCTGGGCAGCAGAAGGAGACTCTCTCAAAAAAAAAAAAAAAAAAAATCAAATTCAAGCAATTTTCTTATTTGAGTTCAAAATGGGTCATAAAGCAGTAGAGACAACTCGCAACATCAACAACGCATTTGGCCCAGGAACTGCTAACGAACGTACAGCACGGTGGTGGTTCAAGAAGTTTGCAAAGGAGACGAGAGCCTTGAAGATGAGGAGCGTAGTGGTAGGCCATCAGAAGATGACAACGACCAATGGAGAGCAATCATCGAAGCTGATCCCCTTACAACTACACAAGAAGTTGCCGAAGAACTCAATGTCGACCATTCTACGGTCGTTTGGCATTTGAAGCAAACTGGAAAGGTGAAGAAGCCTGATAAGTGGGTGCCTCATCAGCTGAGCAAAAATAAAAATAAAAAAAATCATTGTTTTGAAGTGTCGTCTTCTCTTATTTTATACAACAAACCATTTCTCTATCAGACTGTGATGTGAGACGAAACATGGATTTTATACAACAACGGGCGATGACCAGCTCAGTGGGTGGACCCAGAAGAAGCTCCAAAGCACTTCCCAAATCCAAACTTGCACCAAAAAACGGTCATGGTCACTGTTTGGGGGTCTGCTGCCAGTCTGATCCACTATAGCTTTCTGAATCCTGGCAAAACCATTACATTTGAGAAGTATGCACAGCAAATCGATGAGATGCACAGAAAACTGCAATGCCTGCAACCAGCATTGGTCAACAGAAAGGGCCCAATTCTTCTCCAAGACAACACCCAACTGCACATCGCAAAACCAATGCTTCAAAAGTTGAACAAATTGGGCTATGAAGTTTTGCCTGATCTGCCATATTCATCTGACCTCTTGCCAACTGACTACCACTTCTTCAAGCATCTCGACAACTTTTTAAAGAGAAAACGTTTCCACAACTAGCTGGATGCAGAAAATGCTTTCCAAAAGTTTGCCAAATCCCGAAGCACAGAGTTTTACCCTACAGGAATAAACAAACTTGTTTCTTGTTGGCACAAATGCGTTGATTGTAATGGTTCCTCTTTTGATTAATAAAGATGTGTTTGAGCCTAGTTATAAAATTCATGGTCTAAAACCGCAATTACTTTTGCACCGATCTAATAAATATTAATAGAAAAGCATAAGCCCATGCCTATTAGGAAACATACCAAAATACTGAAATGTTTATCACTAAATTCTAGAATTATGGATTTTTGTTTCCTTTTTTTCCCCAAGACTTTTAAAATAAGCATACCTACTTCTATAATTAAAGCAATTTTTATAAAGACTGGAAGAAGACATACCTTTTTTTGCTTTTGAGACAGGGTCTCTCTCTGTCGCCCAGACTGTAATGCAATGGCATAATCATGGCTCACTGCAGCCTTGACCTCCTGAGCTCAATCAATCCTCCTGCCTCAGCCTCCTGGGTAGCTAGGACTACAGATACATACCACCATGCCCGGCTAATTTTTTGTAGAGACAGGGTCTTGCTACGTTGCCCAGGCTGGTCTCTAACTCCTGGGCTCAAGCAATTCTCCTGCCTCGGAATCCCAAAGTGCTGGGATTGCAGGTGTGAATCACCACAGCCAGCCCATACCTACATTTTTAACAGTACCTGAACTATGGCTGATTTTTATTTTCTTCTTTATATACTTCTTTGACTTCCAAATGTTCTACAATGTGCAGTGAGTTGAGTATAGTGATTAAGAGCATAGACTCTGGGTTCAAATCTTGGCTCTGCCATGTATTAGTTGTGTAAATTTAGAAAACTTTCTTCATTTCTTTAAGCTTTAGTTTCCTATTTATGAAGCGAGGCTATTATCTACCTTATTAGGTTAGATTATGGATTACATGAGAGATTCTAAGTGAAGCAATTAGTATGCTGTCTTATCTCTATACTACTACAATTATTTATATACTTTTTTCAAAAAAGAAATGATAAATGTTTATTTCTCTTGAGAATCTGAAGTCTCTCACAAAAAACATGAATTTTCTATCTACTCATATATCTAATGAAAAGTACTTGGCAGTATGTTTAGTAGTAAAACTTTGACAAATAGAAGCTATTATTTATTTATTGCATTATTACATTTCTTTTCGGTTTGGTTGCCAGGAAGAGCCAAACATGTTTGTTTATTTTGTCTGTGTTACCCTTTGAAGTCCCATTCTTCTATCTCATTTCTGTCTTTTCTAATCTTAAATTTTTTTTTTTTTTTTTTCTGAAACGGAGTCTCACTCTGTCACCCAGGCTGGTAGTGGCATGATCTCTACTCACTGCAGCCTCTGCTCCCGGGTTCCAGCGATTCTCTTGCCTCAGCCTCCTGGGTAGCTGGGATTCCATGCACACGCCACCACACCCAGCTAATTTTTGTATTTTTAGTAGAGACGGGGTTTCATCACGTTGGCCAGGCTGGTCTTGAACTCCTGACCTCAGGTGATCTGCCCACCTCGGCCTCCCAAAGTACTAGGATTACAGGCGTGAGCTACCATGCTTGGCCCTAATCCTAAATTTTTAAATTAATTTAAAAAATTTCTTAAATGCTATCTGAAGTTATTTATGAAAGTAAGCAGATTGTATGCACACAAACAAAAGTAAATTAATGTCTTACTATCTCCCACCAGTCCAAGTATCTCAAAGTGTGGTCCAAGGAATACACTAAAATCACCTAGGGGTACTTGTTAGAAGTAGATACTGGAAACACCTACTAAGTCAGAATCTCTGGGAATGAAGCCCAGGAATCGTGGGGAAAAGAAAGAGATCAGACTGTTACTGTGTCTATACAGAAAGAAGTAGATATAAGAGACTCAATTTTGTTCTGTATTTAAGATGCTGTTAATCTGTGACCCTACCCCCAACCTTGTCCTTGCAAGAGACATGTGCTGTGGTGACTCAAGGTTTAAAGGATTTGGGGCTGTGCAGGGTGTGCTTTGTTAAACAAGTGCCTGAAGGCAGCATGCTGGTGAAAAGTCATCACCATTCTCTTAATCTCAAGGACCCAGGGACCTCTGCCTAGGAAAGCTAGGTGTTGTCCAAGGTTTCTCCCCATGTGATAGTCTGAAATATGGCCTCGTGGGAAGGGAAAGACCTGATCGTCCCCTAGTCTGACACCCATGAAGGGTCTGTGCTGAGGAGGATTAGTATAAGACGAAAGAAGGCCTCTTGGCAGTTGAGATAGAGAAAAGCATCTGTCTCCTGCCTGTTCCTGGGCAATGGAACATCTCGGTGTAAAACCCGACTGTATGTTCTGTTTACTGAGAAAGGAGAAAACCGCCTTAGGGCTGAAGGTGGGCCGTGCTACCGGCAATGCTGCTCTTTATGCACTAAAAAGGTTTATGGAGGTGTTTACATAGGTATATCAAGTCACAGCACTTTTCCTTAAACTTATTCATGTCACAGAGATCTTTATTCATATGTCTTACTGCTGACCTTCTCCCTACGATGATCCTATTATCCTGCCACTTCCCTTTTTCTAAGATGGTAAAATCAATAAATACTGAGGGAACTCAGAGACTGGTGCTGGCGTGGGTCCTCTGTATGCTCAGCGGCGGTCCCCTGGGCCCACTTTTTCTTTCTCTATACTTTGTCTCTGTGTCTCACTTCTTTTCTCAAGTCTCTTGTTCCACCTAACGAGAAACGCCCACAGGTGTGGAGGGGCAGGCCACCCCTTCAAGGAATCTGTCTTTTAACAAACTCTCGAGGGACTTTTATACTTACTAAAGTTTAAGTATCCCTGTACTGGCCAGGTGCGGTGGCTCACGCCTGTAATCCCAGCACTTTGGGAGGCCGACGCGGGTAGATCACGAGGTCAAGAGATCGAGACCATCCTGGCTGACACAGTGAAACCCCGTCTCTACTGAAAATACAAAAAATTAGCCGGGCGTGGTGGTGGGTGCCTGTAGTCCCAGTTACTCGGGAGGCTGAGGCAGGAGAATGGCCTGAACCCAGGAGGCAGAGCTTGCAGTGAGCCAAGATCGCACCACTGCACTCCAGCCTGGGCGACAGAGCAAAACTCTATCTCAAAAACAAAAAAGAATCCCTGTACTGTAACATAAGCTTTTTATATCGCTGTGCCTGGCATGTAGTATACAGTCACATACCACATAATAACATTTCGGTCCACAGACTACATACAGGACAGTGGTCCCACAAAATTATAATGAAGCTGAAAAATTCCTATCACCTAGTGACCTCATAGCCACCGTAATGTTGTAGCAGAGCACACTATCTTTTCTATGTTTAGATACACAAATGCTAATCATCATGCTAAAATTGCCTACAGTATTCAGTACAGTAACATGCTAGATAGGTTTGTAGTCTAGAAGCAAGAGGCTATAGCATACAACCTAGGTGTGCAGTAGGTAATACCATCTAGGTTTGCATGAGTATACTCTTGGTGTTTGCATGACAATGAAAAGCCTAATGATGCATTTCTCAGAACATATTGCCATCATTAAGCGATGCATGACTGTATATTCAATGATGCTTATTTACTGAATGGATTAATGATATCACTTGAGGTATGAAGTAATGTATTTGAGAACTCCAAAAATCAAAACATTCTACAAAAATGTAAGGCATTGCCATTTTTTCTTTAAAATGCTTCCTCTTAATCAACCTCTTAGCAGCATTTAACATAGTTGACCACTTTCTCCTTAAAACACAATCTTCTCTCGGCTTTTGAGACACCAGTTTCTTCTGGTTTTCTTCCCACCTCAAGGGCCTCTCCTCCTTATCCTCCCTCCTGGCTGTTTCTCTGCTGACTCTGACCCTGGTCCCCTTCTCATAAGTGCCCTCATTGATGGCATTAAACACCATCTATGTGCCAGATACTTCCAAATCTGTATTTTTAGTGCTGACCTCACCCTAAAACTCCAGACTCATACATACAGCTACCTATTTGACATCTCCACAGTGATGTCTATAGACCTATTTGTTGTTTGTATTCTTGTGTGTAGTCTTTTTTCCTGTCCAAAATTAGAATCTCCTTTCAGAGTTTAGGGAGTGTCACACCACGTGACAGGCTGCTTCTCATTTGAGAAATCTAAAAGACCAGATATTTGTTTCTCCAGCACTCCGAGCAGCTAGCCCCATGCCCTGGCTTAGTCAATCAGATGCACCCCTTAGGGACTCTGAATAGTTAGCTAATTACACAAAAAAGCAAAGCAGTGAGGAATTAATTCTGCAGGTGCTAGTGGCTGAATTCGGTGTTCTGAAGTAGCCACAGCAGTGTCCTCACCAGATAGGCTCCGCAATATGATCATACGTTCCTAGCCTTCCTATGTAACAGCCCATTTTCTGAACTTCGTAAACTTAATTTTCCCGCAGACTTTGTGAGATATCAAATATTGTTTCTGGTTTTTTTTTTGTTTTTTATTTTTGAGACAGGGTCTCACTCTTTTGCCCAGGCTGGAGTGCAGTGGTGTGATCTCGGCTCACTGCAACCTCCATCTCCCAGATTCAAGCGATCCTCCTGCCTCAGCCTCCCAAGTAGCTGGAACTACAGGTGTGCACCACCATGCCCGGCTAATTTTTGTACTTTTAGTAGAGATAGGGTTTCACCATGTTGGCCAGGCTGGTCTCGAACTCTTGACCTCAAGTAATCCACCTGCCTCAGCTTCTCAAAGTTCTGGAATTACAGGTGTGAGCCACCACACCTGGCCAAATACTGTTCTTTTTTTTGAGACAGAGTCTTGCTCTGTCACCCAGGCTGGAGTGCAGTGGCACGATCTTTACTCACTGCAACCTCCGCCTCCTGGGTTCAAGCAATTCTCCTGCCTCAGCCTCCCAAGTAGCTGGGACTACAGGCGCCCGCCACTACGCCCAGCTAACTTTTTTTTTTAGTAGAGACAGGGTTTCACCATGTTGGCCAGGCTTGTCTCGAACTTCTGACCTCAAGTGATCCGCCCGCCTCAGCCTCCCCAAGTGCTGGGATTACAAGCATGAGCCACAGTGCCTGGCCCAAATATTGCTTCAATAAGCAGTTTTTCTGCTTAAATCAGCCACAGTTGGTTTCTATTGCTTACAGAACTCTAATACAATGTTCAATAGGTTTCTCAATATGTAATATAACCATTAGAAGTCTTAATTCCCCAGAAACCTACTAGTCTCCCAGTTTTTCCCATCTCAGTAAACTACCATATATCCAACTGCTCAGGTCAAAAGTCCTAGGCCATTATCTTTGATGTCACTCTTGCCTTTATTCTCCCAATGCAATCAATTAGAAAATTCAATCAACTCTAGCCCTAAAACTTGTCCCAAATATATCCACTTCTCTCCATTAGTTACTATTATCCTAGTCTAAGCTACCATTATGTCCTACCTAGACTCTTGCCTCTCTTTACATATATTCTCCATACAGTAGCCCAGGATATTTTAAAAATACAAAGCAGACCATGTCACTTTCGTGTCTAAGCCTCCAATGGCTCTTCCCACTGAACTTAAAATCCAAACTCCTTACCCTGACTTACAAAGGCCTATGTAGTCTGATTCTTGCCTATGTCTCAGATTTCATCTCCTAACACTCTCCTGCTATGGTGCAGCCACACTAGACTTCTTTATGGTCCCTGAACATCTTCCCATTGACGTCAAGTGGGTAGCTCCTCCGTTTAGGTCTCAGCTTAATCTGATGACCCAATCTACAGTATCAACTTATCAGACCAAACTAGTTTAATTCTCTGCATAGCACTTGCTATCTGATAATATTTTGAGAGCAAGATTCCTGGCTTTTCACTACAATCTCCCTACCAATTTACAAATACGTAATATGTGTTGTTATTGTCGGCAACAACATTCATTCATTCGAAATATTTTTGAGAATTGTTACTATTGTTAACAATAAAAACATACATTATAGATGAGTAAATTGCTGTTTAGCAAAGCTAAGTTGTCCAAAGTCACACAAGTAGTTTGTCTTGAACTTCTGACCTCCCACCTCAGCCTCCCCAGTAGATGGGATTACAGGCTGGAGCCACTAAACCCAGCACTGGTAATCTGTGATAGAACTATGATTCGAACTCAAGCCTTTTGACCCTGAAGCCTGACGTCTGAAATGCTGCCCCCAACCTACTCAAATCTTGACTTCCCATTAACACTCAGCTCAGGTCATAACCCTCCATAAAGCCTTCCCTGACTATTTTATCTAAAATGAAAATAGCTCTCATACTCTGGATGTTGTAGGGGGGGAAAAGATAAAAAGAAAATAGCACTGATATATTTCACATATTCTATTGACTACCTCCACTGTCAATAGCATTAGCTATTATTTCACATTATCTGATTATAACTTAAGGGATCAGCAACTTAGGTTGCTCCTTTAGTAAAAGCCACTTAGAGACTATTCTGTTGTACTGATTAGTGATTAAATTTTTAGTTTAATATTACCTTAAAAAAAAAACCAAAAAAACAGTAGTTATTTCAGAGGCTAAAGAAGTAAGTATGAACTGGCTTACTCTTCTACCATTTATCTACAGACTTTTAAGCTACTCCAATTGTGGCTTTAGTTGGGCTATATATCCTCAGGAGCCACTAAATGTCTGAAATTTCTAAGTTCTTCCAGTTGCTGTTGATTTATTCTTTTCAGTTGTGACCATCTCTATTTTCCTCTAACCCTGTGATTGCTTCTCAGTTTCTAGTCCTTCATCTAACCTAGCTGGTTCTCACTGGTAATATTTTATTTTAGAGCAGGGATCAGCAAACTGCAACTCACAGGCCAAATCCAGTCTGCCATTTATTTTCATAAAGTTTTACAGGAACACAGCCATGCTCATTTGTTTAGTATTGTCTACGACTGCTTTTGCGCTGTAATAGTAGCATTGAATAGTTGCAACAGAGAACAAGTGGCCCACAAAGCCTAAAATATTTACTATCTAGCCCTTTACAAAAAACATTTGTGAAACCATAGCTTAGAGGAAACACAACTGAAACCCAGAAGGGTGAAGTTACTTGTCCAAGATCCCATAACTGGCAAGTGGCAGGGGCAGAACTATTACATTCATTATATGGACCTTATAAATTCTCAAAGTCATAGAACCTTACAACAGTTTCTCTCTACATCTCCGTAGGCTTCTTTGAGACTTTGGTAGTTGACTACCAAAGTCTCAAAGAAAGTAATAGACTGGGTGTTAATGGAAAGTCAAGATTTGAGTAGCAGTCAAGAGACCACTTAAATCTCAAAAGCAATCATCAAAAAAGCAGAGTATAACGAATCTGCAGTACTCGATGGTACTGTAGTCTTTGGTAATCAATCTTCAGGTGAGTCCTCCAGAACACTGGATATTTTGTTGGAGGAGACAAGGTCAATAACACTGGCTTTGTTTAAGAGCCTCCAAACTAATACTAAACAGAATCTGACTATTCAAGAATTCAACTTAATTACCTGAAAGAACCAGGCAGATAACAGAAGTGAATAAATCAGTCTAACATATAACATAATATAACAGAGAGTGAAAAAACCTTGGCCAAAAACTCAAAACAATACTGTAAAACCAAACAAACATAGCTGCAGACAAGAGCAGGATTTGGCATCAAGCCACCAGTTTCTACCCCTGGCCTATGTTATCGATTTCTGTAAATCTTAAAAAGCCAAAAGGTAAACTCCTAGCCTTTAAATAACAAAGTTTAAAAAGAAAAAAAACAAAAACTGATTTATTCTTTTATTAAAATTTTAAGAATAAATCATCAAATAAAACAAACCACTTGAATAAAACCTTCTTATCCCCAGGTAGCCTTACCTTCCACAACATACACCTTCGTCAAAGGAAAGTCAATACTCTTCGCCATCACTTCAATTTCTTCTTTAAGCTTTCCCTCAGGCAGAGGTGTGAATTTGTCAAATAAAGGGGCAATATAATCAGCATAGATTGTGACAAGAACCTGAAAAGCAAATGTCAGAACAACATATAAACATGTTCTTAAAGAAAAAACATTCTTTATTATACAGATTAAATTATATTAAAACAATTATGTTGACCTCAAACTTGAGAACAAGGAACTTACTTGCTCTGGTATTCCCAGGCCCAAATAGTACCAGATAGTAAGAGCATAATATCTGTCTGATGAATTAAATTGAAATGAGTAGTCTGGTAACCGAGTAAACCCATGAATTTTATTTTAGAGGATAATGCTACTAACAGTGATTAAGATCTCTAGGTGGTAATAAGTATAGTCCTTTCAAAACTATCTTGGGGATTTCCGATGCTTCATGAGCCAATCATAACACGCAGTTCTGCCTTTGAGCGTAATCACAATAGACCTGAAGTCTTTCCTAAAAAAGAATTCATAGAACTTGATTGTATGCTGTTACTTGGTTGGCTTATCAGCTAAAATTAATTACCTGTAGTTCATAATCGTACATTGTGGTTGAAAAAGCACTTCCTTAAGCATTTTTAGAGCATTTTCTCTGCTCTTTTTCCTCTTACTTTAATTTGCCATACAATAGATACCTGTAAATCCAACTACCGCCCATTTTCTGATCTTGATCCCATCAGTGGAAAATGAAACAATGGGCATTATGTAATTCAGACTAAAATAAACCTCAGCTGGGGCGTGGTATAACACACCTGTAGTCCCAGCTACTCAGGAGGCTGAGGCAAGAGGATTGCTTGAGCCCAGGAGTTCAAGGCTGTAGTGCACTATGATCATGCCTGTGAAATAGCCACTGTACTCCAGCCTGGGCAACATAGGGAAGCCCTGTCTCAAAATAAAATAAAATAAAATAAAATAAAATAAAATAAATCTCATCACCAGTGGAGTTGAAGAGCTGATAGATGATAATTTCTGGGTGTACTGAACAGACCATTCTGGTCTTTTTCATTTGGGTTTTTAAAAAGTTATTATTTGTAGAGACACAGTCTCACTGTGTTACCTAGGCTGGTCTTAAACTCTTGGGCTTAAGTAATCCTCGCACCTTGGCTTCCCAAAGTGCTGGGGTTACAGGCATAAGACACTGTGCCTGGCCTGAACAGACCATTCTGACTGTGTTGCAGTGTTTGTGTTGTGAAGCACTTGAGAGTATGGAAAGAGAAGAGGAATAGGAGATGTGAGGGAGGGAAGGGGGAAAAGAGTGAGAGGGAAAAGGAAAGGAGAAGAAGAGAGGCAGGAATAGGTGGCAGTTGGGGAGACAAGGGAAGACAAAGGAGAAGGAAAGGAAGAAGAATGCGTAAAAGATAGAAGGGGAAGGGGAAGTAGATGGGGCAAAGAAGGCAGAGAGTGTCTAACGGGGAAGGGAAAGGCAGGGGAAGGGAAGCAGAAGAAAGGCAGTTAAATATGTTTTCTTTCTCTTGTCCCTCTTAAATCTCATTTCTCTTCAAAATAACCATGATTTTAGGCAGTGGAGGTCAGTCAGGAGTCATTAAATTATCATACTTAGTCATTCTGGTGGCAACTCACAAATGCACAACCCAAAACTGCCTGACAACGGAATCATTAAAAGTGACTAACAACTAGTTTCTATGACCTGTAAGAGTTAGCATAAGGAGAAGGAAATTTATGGTCAGTCAATACTCCTGTTTCTATAATCAAAAGCAGAAACCAAAGGGGAAATGTATATAAGCACCTATTTATATTTCAGCTGCTTCTTAAGAACTATTTACATGCCAATGAAGATTACAGTAATCTCACCAAGGAACTTTTGTAAAGAAAATGAAATAAAGATTTTACTCACCAGAGACACAACTAATGTAAATAGCCAGGCATAAATAAAAAAATAGTCACCCCCAATTTTAATAATGTAAAGTAGAAGTGAAGACACAGGCAACAAAATACACTGAGTCACAACAAATTTCTTGATTGCATCTTTCATGAAGAACCCCAAAGTCTGCAAAAAGAAAACATTACCACAAGAAACTGAGAAACTGGTTTTGCTTTTTAAATAACTAATAAATAACTACAAAGGATACATTATTAAAGCAATTTTTTAAATTAACACGCAGTGAAACTATATTATATGACATTAGACAGCTTAAGACAATGAGTAAATGTCCTGCATCTTACAGGTGAAAATTCATTTAAACATTATTAACTGAGGACGAGTGCAGTGGCTCACGACTATAATTCCACCACTTTGGGAGGCCTAGATGGGAGGATTGCTTGAGTCCAGTAGTTCCAGACCAGCCTGGGAAACATAGTGAGACCCTGTCACTAAAAATTAAAAAAAAAAAAAAAAAAATTAACCCAGTGTAGTGTAATTCATCTATAGTCCCAGATACTAGGGAGGCTGAGGTGGGAGGATTGCTTGAGTCTGGAAGGTTGTGGCTACAGTGAGCCATGATCCTGCCACTGCACTCCAGCCGAGGCGACAGAACGAGACCCTGTCACAAACAAACAAATGATTATCAGTAGCTGAAAAACAACAGACATTAGTGCTAAAAGAGTTTATAACATAAATTTCTTTTTTTTTTTTTTTTAAAAGCAGGGTCTGGCTCTGTTGCCCAGGTTGGAGTACAGTGGCACAATGATGGCTCACCGTAGCCTCAACCTCCTGGGCTCAAGTAATCCTTCTGCTTTAGCCTCCCAAGTAGCTGGGACTACAGGTGCACGCCACCACAACTGGCTAACTTTTAGAATTTTTTTGTAGAGATGAAGTCTCACTATACTGCCCAAGCTGGTCTTGAACTCCTAAGCTCAAGTGATCCTCCCGCCTTAGCCTCCCCAAAGTGTTGGGATTACAGGTGTGAGCCACTCTACCCAGTCGAGGCTTTCTTTTTTTTTTTTTGAGATGGAGTCTTGCTCTGTCACCCAGGCTGGAGTACAGTGGCGAGATCTCAGCTCACTGCAAGCTCCGCCTCCCGGGTTCACGCCATTCTCCTGCCTCAGCCTCCTGAGTAGCTGGGACTACAGGCGCCCGCCACCATGCCCAGATAATTTTTTGTATTTTCAGTAGAGACGGGGTTTCACGGGGTTAGCCAGGATGGCCTCAATCTCCTGACCTTGTGATCCGCCCGCCTTGGCCTCCCAAAGTGCTGGGATTACAGGCATGAGCCACTGCACCCGGCCTAAGTTTTTTTTCTTTTTATTTTTTTTAATCAACGTTGACCAGGTTGGCCTTGAACGTGTAGCCTCGCCTCCCTGAGTGCCAGGGCAACTGGCCTGAGCCACCGTGGCTCCCAAGACTTTCAGCTATGATCTTTACCATATCTGCAGTTCCGTTTTTTCTCAATTCATACTCTGAAATAGTAAATTATGTTTAAATTATAAACAGTACAGGATAAAAGCACAGAAGTTTTTCACATTTAAAAGAGAACATTTGTTATTCTTTACTATACCTGTTGATTGAAACCATGTTTTTCTTCTATCACAAAAGTATTATAAAGACTCCATGGCAAACCAGTCAATGCACTGAAAAGTGTAGCCAACAGCAGAAACACCAGGGACTGAGTGATCTAAGCAAAAGAAAAAACAAAAATCTAGTTTTTATGAACTACTAGCAAACAAATCAACAAGTATTTGCTGAGCACTTACTACATCCCAAGCAATATGCTTGATTCTACGGATAATACAAGCTCTGAAACATCATCCCTGCCTTCAAAAAAGTTTACTTTTGAGAGAAGTAAATGAGAAACAAAACAAATCCTTTTCTACTACACAGGCACTATATGAAAGGTACCTTAAATCATATAGACTAATCCCTAAGATAAAGAGCCTGGATTCTTGGCTTACCACATGGAAGAAAGTCACCTGATAACTAAAAATACTCACACTGGACTATTATGTGATTGAGAAATAAACCATTGCAAATAAGCCTGTGATATTCTGGGATTTGTTATCATAACTAATGTTATGCCAATACAGCATGGGTAACCAAGGACTATGCAGACAGAGAGGCAAATCTAACATTGGCAGAAGCCAAAAAATTAACTTTAGTAGAAAGCCTGCCAAGCCAAAAGAAACACCATGACAAATATATGCTAATAATCACATACCTCATATTCTGGTCCAAAGCCAGCATAACCACAGAACCGTCCAGAAAGTCTCCAGAGATAAGGTATTCCTCCAAAGAGAAGAATAAGCTATAAAACAAAGCATACTTTGATCGCAGTTGAACAGTACTAGAAACTATCATATGAGAAAGCATGGTATAAAGAAAGAAAGGACAAAATAATAATCTATTAAAAAAAAAAAGAGGCCAGTACCGTGGCTCATGCCTGTAATCCCAGCACTTTGGGAGACTGAGGCAGGAGGATGGCTTGAGGCCAGCAATTCAAGACCAGCCTGGGCACCAAGGTGAGTTGAGACCCCATCTCTACAAAAAATTTAAAAATTAGCTGGGCCTGATAGTACCTGTAGACCCAGCTACTTGGGGGCCTGAGGTGAGAGGATTGCCTGAGCCTAGGAAGTCAAGGCTGCAGTGAGCCGTGATCGTGACACTGCACTCCAGCAAGGCAATAAAGTGAGACCCTGTCTCAAATAAAATAAAATAAAATAACAAAATAAAATTAATTTTTTAAAAAATAGACCTATTTAACGTTTAGCATAATTTATGCATGTAGATGAGTATAAACCACTGAGATACTAAATTTAGGCAGTTAAAATAACATTTTTGTCTGTACACTATATACGGATGAATTGTATGGTACATTAATTACCTCAATAAAGCTTTTCTAAAACAAAACAAAACAAAAACACACTTCTGTCAAAAGACCACAACAAAATCACAAACTAAACTTGGAAAGGTTAAACAGCCGGGTGTGGTAGCATATGCCTGTAATCCCAGCATTTCGGGAGGCCAAAGCAGGCAGATTGCTTGTGTTCAGGAATTTGAGACCCAGCCTGGACAACATGGTGAAACCTGTCTCTACAAAAAATACAAAAATGAGCTGATTATGGTGGCATGATTCTGTGGTCCTAGCTACTTGGGGGAGCTGAGGTAGGAGGATTGCTTGAGCCTGGGAAGTCGAGGCTGCAGTGAGCCATGATCAT